TGTTATGTACATTTATTTGCACATCATCGTTGCATTTGGCAAATTGCCTGAGCAGGCCTGACACCCCTCTTCTCCCGGTTCCCGACACTTTTGACACCTAAGGCTAGGCTATGCCTGGCCTAGCGTAGGCCTAGATCCTAGCCAACAGCGAAACATCACTCAATGTTTTCTGGAAACTTTATTTTGTATACAGTATTTGACTAAAGTTTTTTTTTCACATTTCCTTTTTCAAATATAAAACAAGGGAACATTGTTCCCTGGTAATAAAACCATGGTCGACTAACTCCCCTCCGTAAGCCTACGCACGTGTGCTGCGTCGTCGTAGTCGCCTTAAAAAAAACGAAAACAGCTCTTGGCGTTGCCGTCACGGTCCATTAGTTCGTAGTAGACTGGCCGCGTAGTCAAAACGAAAAATGCCTATTATTATTCAAGGTGACACTGTAAATAACAATGTAATTCTCTTATAGCATTGATAAAAGCACAGATTCGCCTTTCAATTTAAGACTAGACCACCTTTGCGACCTAAAATTTGTGTTTAAAGATTGTAGATTGCTAGTTGGTATTTTATAAAAGTGGTCTCAAATTTGAGGGGGGGGGGGGGGGGGGAGGGGCCAGGGAAGGAAAGATCTGTGAATTGGAGAGGTCTCTAATTGGAGGGCAAACTGTACATCCCCTACTGTAGTACAACTGTCTTTAAATCAAAGAAACATAATTTGATTATATTATAAACATTGTTTGTAATAAATGTTTTATTACAGATATTATCCCTTTATAGCTTATGTAATATCAATCATTAATTGAAATTTAAAATGAAATACAAACCAAAAAAACCGTATATTATGCAATACTTCCCAGGGACCGTGTGAGCCAGACATAAATTTAGGAGACAAGTTAAAAGCTGATTTCTATACAATCTCCTCTCAACAAACTGTTTACTAAATTCTTAACGAGGTACCATGGCTAAGAATGTCTTATATGATGGCTACAGCCATAAATAGCTGTAAACAGACAGGTATGAATGTTGTTTTGCAAGCCAAGGGGTTTATACAACTGTAATTCTCAGTCTATTAAAAGAAGGATAAATGTCCCCGATGACAAAACAACCCAAATTTAATGAGTACACATACTAGAGTTGTTTCCATAAATTTCCTGTAAACAAGGATATTTTAAAACACATTAGTAATTTAGGGTCATACGTCTGGGCGAGCAACATGCTTGAGAATAATTTTCTAATTTTGAAGGGTCAAATTATAAAATGCATTAATATGAAATATTATAAATAAAATTATTAAAATGTTATGATTGTAGTTTTAGATTAGAAGTGGATCGAGATTATTAATTTGCAAAATTATGGGTATTAATACTATCTAGCATTCGGGGCAGTAAAATCAGAGCTCCAGGTCCCTGGCAGGATGCTTTTTTGGGTCTACAGTACCTGTGGGATACTGGATTTATCAATATTGTTTAGCTTAAAAATTGCTTAAAATTAAAAAGTTGATTGTACTTATGTGCCATCTAAGACGGTTTGATAAATCAGCTTAAGATATTTGCAGACTCGAGGGACATCTTTTTCGACTTAAGACATTTGCTAAGTTGAAATCGATAAAAATCCCGGGCCAGGGCTCTTAGCTTTAGCCAGTGTTGCACCAGTTTCGGGGGCTAAACTAAGTTAAAATAACATTACTTTTTGTTACATTTTTTCCGAAGTGTATGACTCGGGTATTAGGTAGCGGAACATACTGGGGGAATTTCTAATGTCTTCACTGATTAGCAAAATTGTAGTAGGCTAATACCTGCACTAAATTTGCTTTTTACTGATTTCTAAATTGCACTTTATAGCTTAGAACTCCCCTGCTGAGTAAAATTAATTAAGCAAAGTAATTGGCATGACCATCACATTAAACATTTTAAGAGCTTTAGTGTCAGTGTTTTGTTGCAAAATTTTATATTCATTTTCCTCAGTGAGTGATTTTTGGTAATTCAACCCTAGTATTATGCCTAGGCCAACAGTATAGCAAATAAAACCCCAAAAACTGACCAAATCTGATGTAAATGTCACTGTAGGCCTACTTGGCAACATACCATTTTTGTTTAAAATGATCATGCCACTTAAAATGATGACTATGATGATCACCATTATTATTATCATCAGAATATAATTGAAGATAATGTATTTTTGAAAATTAACAATTTCTCCATTTCTCAAGAAAACTATTTAAAAAAAGTTATGTTTTTACTTTTACTATAATTACCTTTTATATTTTAGTTGATAGTTTACACGATAGAGGTCTGTAAATGTGGCAAGGACAAGCCAAACCAGTCACTCGTCGCAAATCGTGTTTCAGAGAAAATGGCCAAAACATGTTGGAATGTCAAATTTTTAAAAATCTATTTTATTGCACTAAACTAATCTTTACATATCTATAAATCATTCTATGCTATTATTTTCCCCATTTCCAATGTTAAAACAACACTTTTTAAGGATTTGATGATAGTTTCTGCATGAGTAATGCCTGAAATCATAAACTTTGAAGGCTCATTTCTCATATATTGTTCTTTAAACAGCTGTATGTTTAAACGCTTGTAACTTAATAAGTAAATGTCCGATTTGAATGATTTTTTTACCATTTTATAGCTATTATTTTACTCTCTAACACTGTATTAATAACTCAAAATCGATTTTTGCAACGAGTGACTGGTTTGGCTTGTCTTTGCCACAAATGGCTTCTTTAAATCTGTTTAAAATTTACTTCTGACACCTGATTATTGTTCTTTCACTCTTTACTGTAAGACAGACACCAGACAACATGGCGAATTGATTTCAAAATTACATCTTACATCAGAACATACTGGTGATATCAAATGCTGAGTGATTGCTGACGAGCATTTTTATGTTCGTTCCTGACATTTCCTCAAGTATGTTCTCTCAATGCATGTTGTCAATTACAGTCTCATTATGTAATCATTTTTCTAAGAATCTTTCTGCCCAGCTGTCATTCTAGGTTTCTGGGTGCCTGACAAAAATGTTTAAACTCTCCTTCTGATGATTATCATTGTTGTCAGTTATGTACCTGTAATTCTATGATTTAAATATTGTACTTTACAGCTTAGTACTCTCTGCTGAGTAAAATCAAAAGTAATTGGCATTGCCATCATATTATACACTAAATTATTAAGTATGCTTATGTTATCACTGATATCAGAAATAAGTTCTTTAGGTTTAATTGAACAAATGTTGTTTTTTAAATTTTCAGAATGCTGATGCTTTAAATAAAAATAAAGGACAAATTTAAAAATTAGCTAGGACGCTATCCACAGCTTATTAGCAATACTGTTACCAATAATTGACAAAGGACAGTGAAGTAAAACCACTAATAGGTCTGAAGACGTCAGAATGCTAACTGATTGATAGGATGCCGATGCAGTTTGTCAGTGGATCATACATAACACTGTCTTCTCCACATTGCAATTTAAACTCAGACGTGTTTAAAAGCATCCGAGTTTAAAAGCTTTTTTCCCAAATTAAACTTAGTCCCTAAATTGGAATACATCATCATAATTAGACAATACCATTCTAAAGCCTACAGTAAGCTCATCAACTATCATCGTGTCAGTCAGACCAACTGCAGACGTGGACAGACACACAATTTGTTTCATTAAAAACAGAATTTATCAAGCAATTACTAATCAGACACTGTTAAGTCTGAAAGATAATATCTGATAAAAGAATGATGTTAATGGGAAATTTTTTATCTGATTTTTTTAGGTTCTATATTTCAAATGCTATAAATATGTTTTGGTTACTTACACTGGGCGTTTTTTAATTCTGTTATTACTTCAAATGTTCTATTTTCCAAAATCATACCTTCCTACAGTAACCTTATCACAATTTTATCATGTTATAAATTATTATAAAATATTCAACAACACGACAGTATATTCTTTTTAGATGGCTAAGATGTAAAACGTCAAAAAGGAAATTCACTCTATTTGATTACAACTTGCAGGATAATTATACCATTAAACCACTATATTGTAGTTACTGTGTACACAGGTTTTACGCTTGAATGTAAATCATGCTATAAACATTAATTTAAATCAGCCTTAATGATAAGGCTGTGCATTTGTCTACTTGTCTTGGCTTCATCTTTTGATTTCATCAAATTATTAGGTTAGTAATCGCACACTTGTCTGAGGAAGCCCTCTAAAATGTCCATCATGTACTCCTCAATCTAATATTTTGTTTACACTTGTTTTTAACATACCTAAGTCTCCCCTTTCTCATCCTCACAACAACACTAGGTGTCTCAAGTGTTTCATGCAGTTGTGGTGCTGAATATGCTATTAAAGTTATAATATACAATATAAACAAATCTAAGGGTGCGCGGGCTTAGCAAAGTAGAGGCAAGTCTTGCAAGCTTACTGATTTGTGTACTACTATATGAAGGGCAATGTTGAGGTGCATAATCTAGCCTACCTTCAATTTACCTTGGGTTAGATCAGGGGTGGGCATAAAAAAATTGGTCGGAGGGCCAAAGTGAATTTTTGATTTAACACCGAGGACCACACCCAAACTTTGATGTTTCCAGTGAGCTTCCAAAAACCTCCAAGCACTGTTTCTCCACCACTTTATTTCCAGTTTTAATGTTATTTTTTACATATGATCAGTTTCAGGCCGTAAAATACAAGGTGTTTTCTAGTCAATGTTGCTTGGCGGGCACACATAGGGTTTTTAATTCATTTTCGCGGGCTGCAAAAACATCACTGTCGGGCCGCATGTGGCCCGCATACCGAACTTAGCCCACCTGTGGGTTAGATGTTAACATACCTGAAACAGGGTGTTTCAAACAATAATATAATCATGCAAGGTAAATATGGACAGGAATACCTTCAGACCAGAAAGGATGAGGAGTGGATCATGTAAATCAATACAGAGAGCCTGCCACATGAAATGTTTTCAATTTAACAGAAAGATTACTGGAGTAAAAAAGATGACTCACCTTTACATATTCATGATGCTGTTGCTCTAATGTTTCTAGTGTCTTAGATACATATGCTGTAGAAAAACACAAATTATTCAAAACATTAAAATGAATTGAAATCCTACTTAAATTTCAGCCAATTTGGTTGTGAACATGATATAGGAATACATTTACGAATGAATTGATAGCCTGCGAGTTGCACGATCTAAGGTGTCGTGAGAAATAAAGGCTAAAGAACTGTCAGTTGCATTCAATTGCATTCAGTTGCCTATGTTAAATTTTCTGCAAACTGAAGCAACTGTCGGACAGTCCTACATACAATTATTTATATGGGATATAAAGACTTGTTCTAACTTCTAAGGTACTAGTTTAAAAAATGTCTTTTGAATTAATTTGATACATTTAACTAGAAACTGAACTGCAACAATAAGAAATGTTTAAAAAAAAATTTGAAATAAGTGTTTTTGTGCAAATGATAGAGAGAAAAAAAATTGTTAGCAAGACAGTATACCTGCCACAATAAATTTTTCATAGCAATTTCAAAAATGAAACTTTTCTCTGATGCCAAGAAAGGTCAGAGATAATCTTTTTGCTATGATGTACTTATTCAAAATCTTTCTTGAATGATAATCCAGCATTTACCAGCTTTCCTTTCAATTACTGCAAAAGGTGTTGTAAATTGGCCAATGGACTTTAAACAGCAGGTAGTCTATACACAATGTCATTAAACTTCAGGTTCACTACCCTTGACTAAAACAACCATAAATTTAGTTATGATTTATAATATCATACTTATGAACCTTACATTGCATCATACTACGAGTGTTTAATCATGATGACTTACAACACCAGATTTGCCAATGGTATCAATTTTAATATTCCTACAGTACAGACACAAATTATCGCTTCATATCTGCGCGTAATCTCTCGTAATCTGCTCGTAGGTATGTTTTGAACGTAGCTACGAACCATTATGAAGGTCATTGTTATTTTAATTAGCTTTGCAATGGTCGTAGGCTGATAAACAATGCGTAAACAATATTGAAATATAGTTTACCAGCTTTCAACACGTGAGCAATGTTGCAATTTACTAATAAACAATGTTAGAACTTTATTGTTTTGTTATATCCTACCTTATTATTAGATCGATCATATTTTAAAACTGTTTAGTTTGCTAGCTAGGTAACCTAGTGGGCATTCAGTATGTTCGAATTTCGATGTCATTTAGGCGGCCTACGTATACAATGTAAGGCCTACATTTTCCCCTATAGAGGAGGAGAGCAGACAGTAATTATACTGGTAAACTTTCCAATTCGGAGAATTTTGATCTGATATTATTGTTCTGGTAGTAGGAATTTTCTTCTTTTAAATAATAATACTGATGACAAATCATGTACAAGTTATTACGATTTCTACAGATCACGTTGTTTATTGTTTACCGTAATTTAAAGCAGAACCTGCAGAGCGATCCAATACTAAATGTTGCCACGAGGTTAACCTTTAACACACTTTACTGTGTTCTGATTGGCGCGCACTCTGACGTCTGATGCTGGCATTGGGTTTTCCATGTGGCATTCGGTAATTTTACAACCAACCAATTCTCCTTTATATTTATTATTTATCTTACTAAATCAAGACAACAAAATATTATTTGATGAACAATCTTTTCACATGTGTGTATTGTCATTGAGGACATCATTTTTTGACATTTAAAAGAGGTAAAATAATTGTAAATAAAAAATAAGCTAGACCTAGGCCTAGGCTAATTAATTAAAAAAATAATATAGCAGTACAAACAAGTTCCTGTCGCGGACAGCGAGTGGAAGAGGAGACTTTATTAACTTCTGATTTCATTCATTGTTTTCAATGAAACTTAAAGAAAGTATAGAGATAAATTTTATTCTGACAATTACTGTATGTCACTTGAGTTGCAATTATGTGAACTGTTTTCATGAAGCCACGATTGCTGCCCCACTAAAACAGCTACATAGCTATGCTATAGCATACTATAGCCATTCGCCAGCGGCAAATTGAGATACCGTTTGGCGGAGAAAAAATTTGCATCGTTTCTGCGAGTGATTCTTTCCAGTAGCCTGGCGTTTATTTCCGAGCCATCTAGACGTGTGTAAACCTCAGCCCCAACCATAGTGGGACTGAAGTTATTGGAGACCCTCACGTCGTACCAATCAATGATTTATGCCACCCCTGATTACGGAGTAAATTTGTAGAGAATAAAATTTAAATTTGTTAGATTTATTTATTTTTACCTCAAAATAAAACCATTAGGGTTTCTATTTTTGTTTAAATAAATCTGTTTAGGGCCTAATTAAATTTCATCGTCTTACACCGAGCTTGTTCCATGTGTCACTATGAAACTTTGGGCGATCTGACGTCATCCCAATCAAAGCACGTGTTTGCACCCCACCAACGCACCCCCAAAAAAATTAACCAATTAGTGGGCAGGGTTTTTCGGAGGCGCAGTCTCTGCCCTCAGGAAAGTGATGAATGAAAAAAAATTAACGAAATTAAGAACTTGAGTGCTATTTCCGAGCATCTAGATAATACAAAATTTTATAACCTCAGCCCCAACCATGGTGGGGCTGAGGTTATTGGAGATCTCTCACTCCGTACCAACCAATAAATGCTTCCACCGCCCCTGATTACGGAGGAAATTTGCAGAGAATGAAATTTAAACTTGTTAGATTTATTTATATCTACCTCTAAAATAAAACCATTAGGGTTTCTTTGTTTAAATAAATGTGTTTAATTAAATCTTCAGCACCTTACACTGAGCTTGTTCCTATGTCACGCACTATGAAACTTTGGGCGAACTGACGTCATCTTAATCGAAGCATGTGTTTGCACATCACCACCGCACCCCCGAAAAAAATTAATTGGCAGGTCCGGTAGTCGCCGGTCGAACATATCGTAAATGATCGTTTTTGTTTCGTTTGTTCAATCAGTAATATTATTATTACCACCTTTACGACCAATTACAAATGAATAAGACATAAATAAGCAAGAAATTCATTAACGGAATCGTTTTTGTGAAATTTTATTGGTTTTTAAATTAGGCTAAAGCATTTTCAATTTGGCGAAAGAAATTAAAAAACCATTTGCCATTTTGGAGAAAGAAAATTTGACACTACCGTGAGTGTAGCATTGGGATAGTGATCAGGATGTTTCTACTTCTAACAGAAACAAGGTCGTTCAACAAAAAAAATACCAAAACTAATTTAGTACTATAAGGATTTTATGTATTATGTTTACTTGTCTATTGAAAGCTAATACAGTAATTCTCTTTAAACAGACAAATATTCAATGCATTGCAAGTTTTTAAGCGTGTACAGTGTACTAGACCTTGTCATTTAAGGCGCGCGATCTTGCACCATCGCGCACCTAAACGCACCCATATAGTGTGTCCGTATCAATACTATTTCATTGTACTAGCATGGTTAAAATTTTGAAAATATTAAACAGAATTTTAAATTTCATAGTTTATAAATGTTGTATAGTAGCAATTCCAAAACTTACAGCATTAATTTAAAAAAAAACGACTGCTCTTTAATAGTTTGCAAAAATAATCTCAAAATGAAGCTCATCTCGAAAAGAGGCCCATCTTGAAAAGAAGCCCATCCAAGGATCCTTAAAGAAAAAGCAGCCCAGGGCTCCTATTCAAGGTTTTACGGTATCACTGGAATGTTACAGGTCACTGCTGTCTGTTGTACTTATGAATATTACACAGGACACATGTGCATATCTTACACAAATCTACGTTTACCCAGACGCGATGAAGCACCGAACGCTTATAAAATGTTGCCTAGCATGTACACTGTGCAAGATTTTCTCTTGTGTGTATCATCAGGTATAAAGTGAAATTCTCACTTGATTTATGGTCTTTGAACTTGATATTAGCTAGGTACATGAAACTTGATAGAGTGAACAGGGTTTATGCTTCATAATGCAATGGAAAAACTTTACCTACCTGTTATAGAGGTTCCCATCGGTACATTATCAATGGCACCATGGCTATTGGCATGAATCAGGAAGCAATCTTTACTGTTGTATCGGGCACGTTCAATACTCACTGTAAACTCTCCTAACTCCTTGCCTGTGTCAGAGGTTGTCACCAAAGAATCGGTGAAAAGAACATTGTCAATTTCATCTTCATCTGAAAATAAAAATATTTTTAAAATGTTAATTCATTCACAATATATTAAACATCAAGGAGGCTAGCCTTAGTGTTTAGTAAACTTTAAAACAGGATTGTATTCTTGAAAAATAAGGACTGTATTTTTGAAATTGCAATATTTAAGGATTGAACACATGATTATTGGATCGAAAATCAAAAAGGTTACAACCAAACTACAGTACATACATCTTCATTAACACAATTACAATACCTTAGAAGTTATAGTACCTACATTTTATATTTCAACATTTTTGTTAATTAAAGAAAAAAACAATCAAGGAAAGTTCAAAATGAGAATGAAAAATGGTAACAAAAATAATTATTGATATAATTCATACAAAAGTTGTATATGAGAAATCAGTTAAAACTTAAACATTACAAAATAGAAGAATTTACTGAGGGCAGTATTTAGTATTTCACATTTTCTCTTTCATATCTATTACATTAAACATTGGATATTCAAAGTATTTATGTTGTAAAATTATAGCTTCTGCTAAATACAGTTTATGAACACTGGAAATGTGACCACAAAATGAAATTGACTACATTCTTTTATTCAATTCCTATTAAAAAATACAATTTCTTTAAAAGACAAATTAAGTTGGCATGAAAAAAAAAGGTAAATTAAGGAACTAATAAACAAAATAGTTTAAGCTTACTAAATACTATCAATTTAAAATTATTTCAAAATATATAAAATGTGGTATTACGCTAATTATTAAAAACAAAAACTATCTCTTTATTATAATAAGAACATATAAAACAAAAACAATTTTATTGGCTTACTACAAATTTTCCTTACAAAAGGTAACTTGTCTCACCCCTAAACAGGGAGAAATAAAGGTAATGACTTATGGTGTTGCCAAAATGTAGACTTTTCAATAGAGTAAAGCAAGTTTATAAAATCAACATGCAACTATTGCGGTCAGAAGTACAATATAAAGCAAATGCTTCTATAATTTATATTTCATTCGAGAGATTGTAAGTTTAGCATAAAACATCTATTAGCTAATTGATTGGATTTGGCATCTATATAAAATTAAACAATCGATAAAATATGTCAAAAATAGCATAATTATCAGGTTTAACATTTCTAAAATGGAGGGAGCCGTTGTAAAGGTGTTTGTCACCATTTCCGTCACTGTCTTGTGAGAAGTTTATTAGATCAATAAATAAAATATCAATGTTATTTAATTTAAACTAAATAATTATTTGTCATTTTTTATGAAAATTAAGGGTTGTAGATATAAATCTAATTCATAAAATTTTAATGTTCAGAGATGTAGTTATGGTGGATGGAGGTGGGCGGGGCCACCAGCCTCGATTTTTTCCACCCAGTGTAAAGCTAATTACATGGTCCTCCACCCACCCTTATTAACCCACTTTTCCATCCTTAAAATCCACTCATATTATTTAGAGTTCATCAATGTTATCACAATCTCACCCTTAGTTTTCTACAGCTACAACCTGAATGTTGTAAAAAACAGTAGGTTTACATCTCATAAATTTTATAACCTTAACGACATAATTGACATCATAAAATTCAGTATCAATATCTTTTTCTTTCAATCGAAGATTCTTGAGTATGTGACAAGTGAGAAATGGCAAACTGCCAGAAAGAAAAACACAAGGCCAAAATCCAGTGACTAGTCATGATGCTTCAGATTGTGTAATACCCAAGCCACTTATTACAACACCTGAAGTAAGACTAGCCTAATCTTGCAGGCCAATTTGATTACCTGGGAACAGTGGCAGATGACATCATTGTATTACTGTTATCATCAACAATCTTTTTGACACACATGCAAGCAATTAAGTACAGGTGAAGCTATCGCAATCAAGTCAAGATGATCAGAATTTAAATACATGTAGAAAGTGACTACTAATTTAGAAATTAATGATTTAAATTGCATGCAACAAACAATTACAAAAACCCTTCCTAACTTGTAAATTTCATCAATAATCGTAACTGTTGGGTAGCCATTACAAATAAAATTTAAATGTAGCCATATTCATCCTCAACTTAATGCAAATGAAAACATTACTGTACTGTATTATTCATCCACTTAATAATTTGAATTGGTAGCATTCCAATAGCAAATTAGTAAAAGTCAATGTTATGTAATCTACATTTTGGTGTTTGTTAAATAAAATTATGTTGTCAATGATCAAGTATTCGATTGTGATTGAAAGCTGTATGATTTTATTACCTTATATAGTATTGTTCTGTAAATTATATCACAGCACCAAGGGCTAAATTGTGACAGATCCCAAGGACAATATTGTTTGAACATAATTAATAAATCAAATATTATATAAAAAAAAAAAACATTGACAGATTAAATAATAAAATAAAAATTGTTATATCTTCTCATAATCAGTAGATTACACCCAAATGAATTTAAAATATTAAACTACAGTACAGATATTTTAAAACAACTTTCTTTCCCATTTTCTTTGTCTACTGGCAATTTTGCTACATTCCACAATAAAATATCCACTCACGGTACTTTTAAACTACTAAATATAAAACTACTATTTAATATAATTATTGGATGAACAGTTGCAAAGGCAAAAGAGGGAGGGAAGGTGTAACCCCTATGTTGAGATTGCATCACCATCACTACAACTGACTTTTTCAGAAATATTATATACATTTGATTTTTGGTATCCTCCTTAATAAGTATATTGCAGTTGCACAGTAAGTGCACAAAGTATTTATGTGCTATATTGTAGTTAATGTAACATATTGCTGCTACTAGGCAGTATTTTTTTCTTCTTTATAATGACTATTTAAAAAATCCTTACCTAAAATAAAAATGTCTTAATTTCACAATGAATCAATCAATAAGTAAATTATAAACTACAGAAAATAATATAAGAACTTGAAACAAGATGAATATAGCATACCTATTTTGTCAATATATGCAATGGCATCTATTGTAGCTTTGGGAACTGGCAATGAAGAAAGCTTTTCTTGACTGTGAATAAATCAAATAGAAAGCTTTTTTATTTTTCCATATCTGAATTCAGTAAATGGTAAGCAACTAAATATACCATTAACGATATAGAACATGTTTTTTTGTAAAAATTTAATCAATAAAAGGAATATTGAATTGCTAAATACTTTTAACAAAAAATTGGAAAACCTCAACAATTCAATTAAAATACTGTATGCTCATTTAAAAGGATCAATTACTTCTAAACAGAAACAGAAAAAAAAAAAAGAACAAAACCTAACAGTCAAATAAAAAATTAAATAAAAGAATAACTAAGTAAAAAGAATCAGAGAAAACATTTTCCACTGAGAAATCGATCAAAACAGCTTCAATTTTTTACAACAGAAATTCCTAAAATTGATTACTACACAAATTAAGAGTAACAAAAGAATATAGGAACATTCATGTGTCTCTTGATAAGTGATGAAAATATTCTCTTCTTCCTATTTTCAATTGCAAGCTAAACATTTACTAGGGAATCGTATAAAATTGAACTGAAGTTGTTGCATTTTCAGCTTAACACAGACTCATCTAAAATGTGTTTTAAAACTTGAAACACATAGGAATGCATTTACTCACCTGTCATGTAGAGGTTCCGTACCATCAGGAACGAATGGCTTGGAATCCATTTTGGAAAACAGAGTAGAACTCATTAATCTTCGCTGTGTAGTCCCTCTGTTAACAGTTCAATCAACTGACGACAATGTAAAAGAGCTGATGATCCTGTCGGAGGTAATTTCTGCAGTCTGTTAAGCGGTTTGATACATACTAACGCTTTCACATATCGTTTTAACAGTTGTTGCAATTATAATCCCAATTTGAGCAATTTCTTGAATCCCTTAAATTAAAGAACAATGAGATAAAATAGAAAATGTAAATTATATACAAGACAAAATAATATGAAAACAAAGATTTTTTTTTTTTAATAGAATAAAAAGGTCTCCTCTTTCTTTAATACACAATGCCTCTGCTGGCACCAAACAGATATGAAATCAGTTTAGAAAATCAAATTAAAGACTGTCTGCAATGAATGATATTGAATAAAGTTCATATTGATAAAAATTTAAAAAAAGTAATGAAGATACAGATGTGAACCTACAGTAAACCACAAAATGTAATTTGAGATAATAACTATCCCAATAGGTTCAAAACTGAATTTTTCAGCAAAAAAATATATTTTTATAGAAAATGTAGCAAACCCCAACTTAACCCTACAGTACTTTAAATACTGTATCAGTATTATTGATATTAATTATGTAGGCATTCTTCAATGCTATATCATTCATTTTGTGTATTTTAAAATTTTAGTTCTCTATTAACAAGACAACACGTTTCCTACAGTCAGTACCCAAATGTTGAAGGGTCGTTCAGCCGTTTTTTAAGTTTTATATAAGTGGACTAAAAGATAAGGGTTTACATAAATTTATAGTAAGACTATACCTTACTGTTGTCATACCATGTCAGTAGGCATCAAGTTGGCCTATCATTTTAAACACAAAAGCTCATTAGGCCCTCTGCTTGAGTTTTTATGGCGGTGACGTTACAGTAGAGATATTATGCCTGTGACAAGCTCAGAATTATAGCATAAATCAATATACAATATATTTTTTATATTGAAGATACTTGGCAACTCAGCCCTTAACCGACTCAGCCCATAACCAACTTGGCCCTTGTAGTTATAAATACCTTCCTACAGTAGATTCTTCTGCAAACTTAAGATGCTAAAACATAGATGAAAACTTTAGTAATTCTTTTCGAGTGTGTTTTCACTGAAAGTTAAACTATTGCTGTATACAGTATATCCTTTTACTGTAAAAATAAGCTTATTTTTCTAGAATTTGGTTTAGGAACCAATAAAGCTTTAAAATGTATAAAATGCAAGATACAAGATATTTTTGTTAAGAATTTAAAAAAAATATATTACTAAGCAAAATAGTCTGTAATATAGTACACAGATCTGTTAATTGGTAATGAAAACATTACTTTCTTTGAATTTTCAATAGAAACTAACAGCACACAGAGTAAGCAATCCAACAATTAACAAGATCCAATCTTACTTATTACATTTTTGCCATGGGACTTTTTCTTTTTTATTTAATTTCCTCCATATTTATATAATCTTGTTTTAAATAAACAGCATTTTCAACAGAGAAGGATCATATAAGATGTGCTACGCAACATGGAAATTTTCTTTAAACTAGTTTCGTGATTCTGAAAATGTACTTCTTTTTTAGGGGAAAAATATTACCAATGTAAGGACAGAACATGTACACTGCGATGCGTAAAATAAACATTAGGCATTTATCAGTTTATCGGTGAGGTAAGTATTCACAATACAGACTTGGTACAGGTATGTCACTATGCTGATAATGTTTCCATCAGTCTCAGCTGCTTTGCTAGTCATAACAAATCTCCTCAAAGCAAATATTTATGGCATACTGTTTGGCAGTTTTACTACAGATAAACAAAACCACTGTGTCAAGGTTACAGCACATTTTTTTTACACTAATGATTGTGAATGGATATGCAATAACAAAAAAATCATCTGCCATTCGTCTATTTGTCTGAAGTGTTAAATGTGGCAAAAAGCAAGGAGAAACAATGATAAATAATGATAGGCCCTTTACACCCGCTGCCGAGTCAGTAAAAATTCATTCTAAGCAGTACTGTACTTTGGTAAGAGTTGAAGTATATTGGTATACAGTTGAAATGAGTACCGACGTTAGCTTCAAGTGTCTTTGCACCATGAACCCCATCAGGGACCCCTTGACCACCATCCAGTTGAGCACTGTGTAGCAATGCGAGTTGTCAGATCTTTTTGAAGGAAAAGTTGGCAACTACAGTATGTAATGGCCAATTGTATTTCATCTTGATATTAAATACAGTAGGCCTAAAATTGCATAATTTAATCCCAGTGATGCTGAATCTCAAAATATGAGTAGATGTTGAATAATAACATTGAAATATAATTAGGCCTAACAACAGCTACAAACTGTAATGTACGACCCGGTCTAGCAATATTGCGTTACTTAAAACAAAGGAGATGCCACCAAACAATAATACTACAATAATAATTAGCTAGTATGAACATCATTTATTTAAGACCGAACTCTCGCAACGAGGCATATCTGTCTGTCTACCAATTTAAACACAGGAGACGCCACCAAACAATAATACTACAACAGTAAATAACTAGCTGGTATGAACATCATTTATTTGAGACCGAACTCTTGCAACGAGGCATATCTGTCTATCTACCGCCTTCCCGCGGTAACTCATCACGTGACATATCTTACATCACGGTTAGTGTACCCGCAATGCAATACAATAACAAATAGTAACTCCCGTTACAAAACACTAAAATGTAACACCAACAGATGCAGGAAATTGTATGGCCATAACTTAGCTTATGTAGGCTAGTTAACAAGAAAATGAATAGATTGATAATTAAGTTATATTTATTAGGGTACATAGAAAAAATTATTAGATCACTCTTTTTTTTTTTAAATTGATGAGGGAGGGTGGTTTTTTTTTTTTAATCGGAACAATAGAATATTTCGCTTTTGTTTTTATCGATGAGGAAGGGAGTGTTTATATTTGGTCTGTAGTAGTAAATGTTGTATATTTTACGGTTTTTTAAAGAAAATGTATTTTAAGTCACAAAATTACATTGTTTTTTTTATGCTGTTGAAATAATTGATGTGGCAAAAAAATTTTTTTTAAATTCCTGCATCAATGTTTTCCCCATTTTTTTGACACGGACGGGAGTGATAATCTAATACATTTTCCTATTGCCCTTATATTTGTGATGTTTGTTAATAATATGAATGTTATTATTTTGTTTATGGTATTTAATAACTTATTTTTTGACTAATATAGACCTCGGCCTACTACTAGGCCTATGTTTATTTTTATGTGTTTATTTAATACTTTTCACACCAAGGCAAATAATCTGTTATGTAGGCCTCTTCAACTGGGTAAAATATAGGTCTAGGCTATCTTTCTTACAATAATTGACCTAGGCCTACTACTAGGCCTATGTTTTATTTTTATGTGTTTTTTTAATACTTTTTACATTAAGGCAAATAAATCTTTTATGTAGGCCTAGCCTAGGGGCCTAGGCCTCTGCAATTGGGTAAAATATAGGCCTAGGCCTATCTTTCTTACAATAATTGACACAAAGGAGCCTTAAATTATTGCAGTTACTAACAACCACAACATTTTCTGCTATGCACTAGCGAGGCTATTACTTTTCTACCTAGTTAGAGGCTTAGGCCTAGGCTAGGTGAAACCGGTCACCAGGGATAGGCCTAGGCCCTTAGGCCTAGCCTAGATAGAGAGGCCAGGTCCAGCCTAGGCCCTATTAGGGCTCCAACTTCATCCTTTTTTAATCATCTAGCCTAGGCCTAGATAGCATAACCTAGGCACATTAGTACAAAAATGTCGTAATTAAGCCTAGTGACTAGGCATGGCGATCCTTTTTATTTTCAGTATCTTACCTGCGTATTTTAATGTTATGTCTCTACCTACATGCGCACAGCTGTGACACTTTTCTGACTTGGTTGGCAGACTTGACAAGCAAGACAAGACGATCGAGGCCGAGTGTACAACAAGAAGAATCAATCATCCACTCAGCAACATAAAGTAAAATCAGGATACTGAAACAGAAGAATTGAATTCTTTACGAAAATTCCTGACGGAAATTCATCTTAAAACTTGAGAAACAGACTTTGACGACAATACTTTAGTTTAGTGAAGAAGATGAGTACTGGAGACCTTATCGTAAGCCCGCGATACCAAAATGGCCGCTTTACGTCACTATGGTATTATGCAAATGACGATGGTACCTCAGTTGCCAATCAAAATTCAAACAGGGAAAAATATTACGCGCTCTTTCCCAATTAGCATCATCAATTTAATTCTGATAAGATATTATATTATAAACTGACATCAACGAGGGTTTCATACAAATATTCATAATGGACTTACCACAATTGTCATATTTCTTTATTATGGGAAAAATTAAAATCTGGGTCCACTATGTCTAAATTCCATGATGAGCAAGGATTTTTGGGGGACCGGCCCTTGTTTGATTTGTTTTAAATTAGTTTCATTTTGTCAGTGTTTCCATATAATTATGTACACTGACCGGGCCCCATAACAATGTTTCTTTCCAACAAAATTTGCTTCTAACTGAGAAGCAAACTTTGTTAGAAAGATATTCCAATACAGTACCATGACATGCAGTCTAATTTGAAAATCATCATATTACAGTACAATATTAAACTGGCGTTTATATCAAAAATACTAAGAACACAACTCCTGGCCACGATGATATTAGTGCTAAAATTATGAAAGCAGCTTCCCAAGTCATATCAAAACCTCTAACACATACTATTAATACCTCTTTATCATCTGGATGTGTTCCTGTTGGTCTTAAGATTGCAAAAGTCATCCCAGTATTTAAAAAGGGAGATACTAGCGATATAAATAATTATAGGCCAATTTCCATTTTACCATTTTTCTCAAAAATTTTTGAGCGAATTGTCTATGATCAAACACTTTGTTATCTCTCGAAATTTAATATCCTATGCTCAGCACAGTATGGGTTTAGACAAAATCATTCAACTAGCCATGCCTTACTCCAATCCATTGAAAGAATACCGTAATACTAATGCTATTGACAATAAAGAGGTTACTCTAGGCGTTTTTCTTGATTTATCAAAAGCGTTTGATACCATCGATCATGATATATTGTTAAATAAGATGAGGTTCTATGGTATAAGAGGAATCCCACTAAAATGGTTTTCAGATTACTTAATAAATAGACAGCAATATACATCTGTTGGTAATGAAGTCTCAAATAAAAAAGTTATTAATACTGGAGTTCCTCAAGGATCCATATTGGGACCCCTATTGTTTTTATTATTTATCAATGATATTAATCTTGCTTGTAAACATATTGATATGATAATGTATGCTGATGATACAAATGTGTTTTATAGTCATAGTAATGTACAACAAGCATATGTTGTTATGAACCAGGAATTATCGATACTCTATAACTGGTTTACTGTTAATAAGCTTACGCTAAATATAAACAAATCAAAATACATTGTTTTTAAATCTAGAAATAAAGTGGTTAACACTGTTAACGTAAATTTAAGAATTGGAAATGAAACAATTGCAAGAGCAACCGAAGTCAAATTCTTTGACTTCGGTTCGGTTTTTGGATGAAGCTCTGACATTTAATTATCATGTAAATGAAATTGCAACGAATGTTTCAAGGGTCATTGGTGTTTTTAACAAGGTAAAATCAATATTATCAGTTAAAATAATGTTAACAACATACAATGCACTTATACTTCCTAGATTAACTTATGCAATTACATCATGGGGTACCACGTCTGCTAGTAATTTAAATCGTTTGCATATACTCCAAAAAAAGGCATTAAGAAATATCTGTCACGTTGACCGCTTGCATCCTTCACATGCTTTGTTTATTATTACTCAAACATTAAATATTTTTGATATTACTTTAAAAACTGTGCCATATTTATGTACCAATATTATAAGAATCTACTGCCTGTATCATTTAACAACCTATTTAAGACATTTGAATCATTCCATAACTATAGCACTAGAAATCGAAATAACATATGCCCTAAAAATCGAAAGAGCATATACCGGTATGCCCTAAAAAAAAAAAACGCACAAGCGTAGGGCAACAATCTATATCTTATCAAGGGGAAAAAATTAGGAATAATTGAAATGATGAATTAAAAGAGTTAGACTCAAAAAGCAAATTTAAAAAGCAATTGTCTCAGTATCTTATAGAAAAACATAAAAATAAATGTTAACTATGATAGGTCCATATATTTTTTTTTATTTCTTGATGTTATAGGTACTCTTTATAATTTTGTATATTGTGTTTATATGTATTAATTAATTTTTTTTTTTTTTTTGCAGGGTTACATATTTAAAGCATTTTTCTTGCTTATTTTGTAACCTATTCCTTTATCCACTACCTTTGTATTTCTTTTGCTGATAATTGTATTGTTTGATATTGAAATAAAATTATTATTGAATTATTATTGAATTGAATATTGAATTATTTTTACCTGCTCGGGGCATGGCAGCGGTGGCGCCAGAATTTGCCGACAAGAGGGTCCTATATGTCAGACGGATGGGTCCGAGCCAAGGAGCCGAAGTAGCCTCGGTCGACGGCCAGGAATAAAAACCCTATTATGGCTCACTTGGGGAGTTTTTATGGCTTAGTATGGTCCAAAAAGTGGTTTTAAACCACAATGTTAGGGATTGGCAGTCAAAATAACTCTATTTAGATAGGCAAATTATTATTTTTTAAATTTTTTATCTGACGACCTACTCGTGCGTCGGACGACAGTGGGGTCCATGCATGTCCGACGCAGTGGCGTAACAGGCGGGGGGGCAGACTGCCCCCCTGACGGTATTACCAGGCTGACCAAGCCGTCGTACCGGGGCTGGGTAATAGGAGAAAAGAAAGAGGGGAGAGGGAGGGAAAGAGAAATAAGGGCAAAAGAAAAGGAAATGAAAAAGAGAAGAGAAAAATAAAGACAGAATAAAAAGGAAGGTATCATAATGATTAGACCAACAACACCCTGCAACTCTTCTCCACTTCAAAAAGTGTCCATAGCTCCTTTGATCTAAGCCGCCAGATATTCTCCGAAGTGCGTAACCACCGGGGGACAAGGGGAAAATATATCAATCTGTGGAAAATCTTTTCCCACCCCTTGAAGATTCTCTTTTCACCCCCTGAAAGTGTCTAAAAATCTCAAATTTCTTTGTTAAATCGCATTTCTTGTTAAAGTAGGCCAATTTCCTCTAAAAATTGCACATTATGGAGTTTTGATCAATTCCGATGAAATTAGAATTAAAAACACAAAAATTGTTTTTTAGGGGTAGCTTTCTAAGTTATTTAAACACATAATAGTCCCAAACTCAAGAAAAAAAAATTAATTTGGTGAATTTGGTGTATTGATGGTGAAAGATAAAACCATTATGAAAATGTTTATAGTTTCAAACACAATTGTGTGGCCTATATTATAAATAAGATAAGCCCTATGTCGTATTGTTTTCTATATGGGGTGGGAGTGGGTATGATAAATTACTAACCGGGAAAATTATTACCTTTCCCCCTCCCCCACCCCCTGAGTTATAGATGGAATTAAGATCAGATTGTAACATAAGAGTATCACCTGTCTCTTATACACATCTAGATGTGTATAAGAGACAGCTGCTCAGGGACCCGGACCGGGTGCTCCTCTCCCCATCCCAACGTCACAGTACTTTGTTGGTCCGACATCGGTAAACGTTAGTGGAGGTTGGTGACAACAGTTGGGCCGACGTTGGTTAGAAGTTGTAAATTTCAAACGTTTACCGACGTCGGGCCAACAGAGTACTATGATGTTGCGACAACGTCTATAATCATACATAATATTTACAACCTCTAAGAAACTTTGGCCCAACGGTGGTACCCAACATCTATTTCAAACGTTTACCGATGTTGGGCCAACAAGGTACTTTGACGTTGCGGCAACGTCTATGATTATATATAGTATGGAGGTTGGTTACAACCGTTTGGCCGACGTTGCTTAGAGGTTGTAAATATTAGATGTGATTATAGACGTGGTCGCAACGTCACATTACGCTTGGCCCGACGTCGGTAAACGCTTGAAATGGAGGTTGGTTACAACTGTTGGTCCGACGTTGGTATGAGGTTGTAATAAATATTAGGATGTGATTTTAGACGTTGTCCCAACGTCACGGTACTTGGTTGGCCCAACGTCGGTAAACGTTAGTGCAGGTTGGTGACAACAGTTGGGCCGACGTTGGTTGTAAATTTCAAACGTTTATGTTGGGCCAAAAAAAAAAAAAAAATTGGTTCGTGTGGGAATCGAGCACACAACCACCAGGTTTTGCTATTCATTATCCACCATCAACTAAACTGCCTTAAAAAAAAAAAATTTTTTTTAATTGGTTTTTGTGAGAATCGAACACACAACCTCCAGGTTTGCTATTCATTATCCACCATCAACTAAACTTCCTTAAAAAAAAAAAAAAAAAAAAAAAAAAATTGGTTCGTGTGGGAATTGAACACACAACCACCAGGTTTCCCGTAACATGATTAGTCTATTTTTTTCTAATTTGCATAATGCATTTTTCAAACATTTTTGTCTATTTAAAAAAAGGTGCGTAAGTTATGGAGATGGTAACAATCAAAAATCAATTATAAATTTAATTCTACATTTTTAGACAAAAAATAAACCCTCTTGGCCCACGGCCCATTTTTGACACCATGACCAGGCGTAATATTACCCTGCAGTGTATATACGAAGAATTTTTTCTAATAGTATCAGAATTGACTAACTGGTACTTGGTGTGGTGCTAGGTTTATCGCATTTATGGCTTAGGGGCTGCAGTTTACCTCCCTCCGTTTAGTCATGCTGGATTAGGGGTAGTAAACTCAGCGATCGTGGGTTCGATTCCCCCACGGGCCATTTTTTTTTGTTTTTTGTTACGGCAGTTTAGTTGATGGTGGATAATGAATAGCAAACATGGAGGTTGTGTGTTTGATTCCCACACGAGCCAGTTTTTTTTTTCTTTAAGGCAGTTTAGTTGATGGTGGATAATGAATGTATTGTACTCGTTGATGACGTCGCGAAATAACAACAAACAACGACGTGTCATTTCATTTCATTTATTTCGTCAAACAGAAAACAAAACATACAGAAATAACAATACCAAAAATGAGAGACAGGATAAACAAAAAGCAAACTAAA